GGAAGAAGTCTGATACATATACAAGTCTGCTGTGGTTTGTGGGTGAACTGGTTCCAATTACCATGCCTGCTGATTGCTTGAGTGAGAACTGTAGAACTAGCCCCAAAGCCCCAAACCTTCAAATTAACCTCGTATGTTCCAGGATATGGGAACAGGTGATTTTAGTAATAATCTGAGCTTGAATCTCCACACTGACAATGAAATGTAAAAGACAGACATGGCTACACAAGGTGTAAATGAGGAAGGTAAGGGATTGGAGCATCTTTTCAGAGCAAACTTGCTTCTCTGTAATTATTTTCCAAGAACACATACTGAGTATATTAGAGACTGAGTGGAATACCATTTTAAAAAGTGGTGCAGATTTATTAGTGTATATTACCCAGATTCAGAAAACATACACAAACAAATTAGTTATTATCTCATAAAAACGTATCATTAACACACATACTATAATTGACAAATTTAAAACAAGACCATGCTATATTACTACATTTTAAAGTAATGCTTCCTGTACGTGAAGATCAATTTGGATTAAGTGCTCTATGGCCACTCAGCTAAAATAGATTAGCCCAGTAATTGACAGTACTCTATCGATAGATTCTCTACAATTCAGTCCAAGTTACTTTTCTCTAAGCTCTAATTTCTTTCCAAGAACGCTGTTGGATTTAGCGTAACTGCTCCATGTCAATTTCCTCTAAATAAGAGTTACAGTGTCAAGTACAAAGTTTGGGTTTTTTTAAAAAACAAACAAACAAACAAGATATACATGTCAAAATTAAAATATTTTCTGGCTGAAGAACTGCACACATTGAGACACAATCCACTGTGCGATGGCAAAGCAGTCTGGCCAGCTAATCCAGCAATGTGAGTTCCAATCATCAGTTATCACCAGTAACAGCCAGCCCACTCCTTACTGTAGTCAGTACCATTCAAACCCCTTAACTTTGGCAAATTAACTTTGCTAACAGACAGAAATAACATAAGTTTTCAATAAGAATGGACAATACGTCTCTCTAGATACCCAAATCTCACTTGGGCTCAACCACTGAGACGTAGCCCCAAAGTCCCCCCTGTTCCAGCAGTGCTGAGAATCCAGGAAGGTGTAGATAAGGTACAAGTGGCTGCCAGAATTTTAACCGCTGCGTTGTCTAGACATGCTCAGAGCAGCCTCATACAGACGCCTCCAGATGCTTTTACAACACTGATCTAAAGGCACCTCTCAGCAAGTGAAAACACCCCCTCCTTGGTCAGTGAGCTCAAGCGAGTGATAACCACGCTCATGCCCTGGCAGCGAGACCAGGTGTCAGACTCCTAACACATCCAAAAAATAAACTGTGTTTACATGCGTCTTCAAAGCGCGCTACTGTTTGGGCAGAACATACGCCCAAGCCCGAAACCAGAGCAATGGGGAGGCAAGTGAGACAGCCCAGACAATGAAGGGAGAGGCAGATGTTTAAATATTTTAGGCAGTGATTTTCAAAAGAAGAGATTGCGTGTAATTCCCTCCCTAATTCAAGAGGTCTGAATTCAGGAACTTAGGAACTATTCTGGGGCAACAGAGTACCACAGTTGACTCAACATCATTAGATCATTATTTGCAGCATATTCTTTGTCTAACACACATGCACGTACCTGCTTCTTTGTTCTTGATCTACAACATCTGTAAAACCGTTTGCACGCTTGGGAAAAAAACGCTGATGTCTGCTTAAAAACTGACACCTCTTGAGGTACACAGGATTTTATTTAATTGTGCTATCATTTTTGAAGTTCAACTTTTAAGCTGTAGAAGGATCCTGAACTAAACTACTGCCCCAAGACTTCACCATTTTTGTTTTAGAGACTTCCAAATTTTTCCTAGAGAATCTCTAGTTCCTAAACATCAGGTAAGAGAACCAATGACTTCATTGCTCCATGGAAAAGCAACTGAATCCTCAGTTGTTAGGCAGAATTTTCCAGGAGTATTTATCAAGTCAGCTTGTACCAAAAAGAAAAAAATCCATCCAGTGGTCTGAACACCATTGCCTGTGAATAAAATCAGAATCTCTCTGCTATACCTATTATAGGATATATACTATTAACAACTAAAGAAGATTACTACTGCCAGAAGGCAGGACTTTAGGACACAGAAAGAGAAATATAGGCATTCTAGCTCTACTACTGCAGCATTTCAGGCAGCCACAGAGCAGAGCACAGCACCTACAAGTCCCCAGCTCCCCTACGGCTCCGGCAGGACCGCGCTATTTCACTTTCAGCAATTTTTGTTCTTTGATTTGGCTGCACACTTGACCTGGCTAAACCCCGCTCCAGCTGAGAAAGCTGCATGTTGTGGCAGCACTGGGTTGGTAGGCATTGTGAAATAAAGTGGGAGGCCTTCTGTGCTCATTTGTGTGTCAGTACCCAGAATGCTGCTTCTGGCTTCCAGCTACTTCATAGAAGTGCTGCTGGGACTTGAACCGTGGGAACAGTGCAGTGCTGGCGTGTGTGGGTGTGTTCACACGTGTGCAAGGAAAGTTCCCTTCTTCTCTTAGTGTCGGATCACATACAGTTTTGCTAACAGGACAGATGTCTGGCACACAGGTAGGAAATATGAAAGCACTGTCAAATGTTGCTCGGTTCAATATTTAAAAAAAGAAAAAAAGGGTTCAAAAGAGACAGAGTCGAACCCACTCTCCTTTACTGGAAATAGCAACCAACAAAGCCTTCAGGCCTGCTTTTTGAACTAATTCAATGACAGTGGAGGCACACTGATGTTAAGAAACCAGAGAGCTGTCAGTCACACAGGAGCGGAAAGAGAGCATGAGAGATACACCAAGGCCATATCTAGCAAGGGAGCACTCAACATGCACCAGCTGCTGAGCTCAAGAAAAAGGCTTTGGCACTGAAAATGGATTTCTAGGACCCTGTTTTGCAACCCTGACAGATTATTCACATTTTAAATTTCTAGAAATATCCCAGAATGTAATGGTTGTGCTCCATGCCAGTAACGGTGGATGAAGTGAGAAACGGGTAAGGAAACAAGACACTCGCTCAAGGAAAAGCCGTGTTGGTGCACAAAGACTTTGAGAGACCAGAGAGAAAACAAAGCAGAAAAAAATCCTGCCATGAGCATGCGACAAGGTGGAAAAAACTGATACAAAGGAAAATGGAGAAGCTATCATATGGCTCAAGAAAAGAAAGAGCTTTGGGAAGTAACAAGAAGCTTATGGGAGGTCAAATGCTCATCCAAGAATGAACAGGGAGGATACAAAAAGAAAAGTTTTAAAAGAGGGTAAGGAAAGTGACTAAGGCCTCTATGGTTCATGCTCTAGTGGGGACTCCAAGTGTCATAGCTCCCTCCAGTTTTTGGTTCGGACCCTTTGCTGACTTCACACAGATCTAGACAAAAGCTTCTTCTGCAAGTGGCAAGACCAGGCAACGTGCATCTTGTTCAACCAAGCAGGCTGCCCGAGAGACAGTGTATCTGCATGTACATATCCACCTCTCGATACAGACACCTCGATATGCACATTGGAAACCTGCTGTGCACAGAAATGTATGTTGGGAATGAAGTATCCAGGTAAAGATATGCCTTGTAGCAATACACTAAAACCATACAAAGGGCAAAAAAGGGAAAGAGGAGGGGGGAAAAAAAAGAGAGATGCAAAAAAAGGCAGTTTTGCCAGGATGCTGAATCTGCAACAGGGGCTTGTGCCAACCCAGCTCCTCCATTTAAGTCAGACCCTTAAAAGGCAGAGCTGTGCTGGCAGAAATCTACATCCCTCATCACATAAACCTCATGAACACACACAAAAAGCTCAAAAAACTCACCACTTCTTAAACAACCATAAAAGTGGTCATATGCATCCCATGCTACCAACATACTAACAGAGCCCCAAGGAAAACACAACACACAGAGCAATGTGTACACACACACGCATAAATAAATAAATTGGGAAACTGGTAAAAACCCCACTCTTGAAAGTAGAAGACCAAATATCTGAGACAGCAGATTACAGCACACAACACACACAAACACCTCTGTATAAAACAGAACAAAGCTATGCAGAGATCTACATCAAAAAGGAAGACCACCACAAAGACACATATGCTTCACTCTTTCATCCAGAGACAGACAGACAGAGAGCCCAACAGACACACAAAACCCACACAGACTGACAGTAATTAACACAAACACACAGAGGCAGACATGGGACCATCCTTTCATTTCCTTACTAGGCATCTAAACTTTACTCCTGTGTTACTTGCCCCTGGCCACAGTCTACCAATCTTAGAGCCTGATTAAATCTCTCCGTAATTATCTGCACACACTGCTACAACACAAATGACCTTAGCATATGATATCCGTTGGCTAAGCCCAATGGAAAAAGACTTCAGAAAAAGGAAGGATAAGCGTACAAAACTCTGCCAGCACTGCCAGGGGCTCCTCAGGACTGCACCACATTAATAGGAGGGCCCTGAAGACAGCTCAAAAGCCTTGAAACTTAAGCCCAGTTTTGCAGAGGATGTAAGATAAAGCATTCTTTTTTCCCCTCTATCCCATCCTCTGGGGACACACCACGCTGTTCCTTCCCATCAAACTCCTCGCCACCTGCTCAAATGATCCCATGCAGGAGACTTAAAATTTTACGATGACAGAATTTTGACTGAATTTTCTGCCAAATAGATGGCCACGATTTCCTTACATAATTTTTGCCGTCCACTATTAGGTATCTTGAATTCACTCTGCAAGAAGTGCTGCGCTGCATGCAGATTTTGGAGGCTGGGGGAAAAGCACTTGCCATATTCTGAACTAGGATCTATTAAAAGGTCACCAAAAAGTCAGGCAAAGCCAAGATTTAGTAGTCTTGTCTTGTTCTCCACCTCCAACCTCACCTGGGGTGTTGGATAAATCATACAACTGAACAGAATGCCGTAAAAGCCTTGTAAGAAAAGGAAAGCACACCCCTACTAACATTCATTTTAATTAAAGTCTGGAAATGACCAAGCTAGGGACACAGTACCTTTCTGGCGCACGAACGTGGAGATTTCTTAATTTTGCTTCCCAAACGAAACATGCCCTAGAAAATTAATTTCCCAACATGAAAAACGCATTCACTTTCAGAACCGTATTCTCCTCTCACAGACATTCATATACATCTATCCCACCATTCCATCTTAGCACATGACTGACGGAGAATAGACAAGCCATTAAAAACACATCCACCTCCAACCACGGAGATAATGTGGCTCATTACAGCCCAGCTTTGTCACAGCGGTTCTGACACTCAAGCGGGAGGAAAAGGAGGGGTGAGGACAAGGACTGAAACGGGGGCTAAGCACAAGAGCAGGAGAGAAACTGCAACTTGAAGGAGTGAGACTCTACTCCTGCATCAAAAAAACGCAGAGGCAAATCAAAGGGGTTAACTAGGCCTCTTAGGCCAGCTGTGGGAATTACTGCATCCTTTGCGCAGGATATTTTAAAAACTCTGGGCTTTGTTTGGGTATTTTTGTTGCATTTTTTACAAATAAAAGCGTTATTTAAGTCTGAGCTTGTGTCTGCTCCTTTAAATGGCTATTTGGTTAGGTAATTAAGGATTTTACTGAACATTCTCAGTGGGCTTTAAATGTTGCTTTGCTTTTTGAGGCTTGTGTCATTGCCCTTCCACTCCAGACACAGAAAACCAAAGCAAAGTTCACAAGTCTCTGGGAGATGAGGCAGAATCCAACCAACAAACCTGCAGCGTAAAACTCAGTAGGAAAGAGTTTGCTTTAACCTTGTGTTGGGGGTGGGGGGTCGGGGTGAGGCGAAGGAGCTGGAAGCAAATTTCTCATCCCCCAGCCAGCCCCACCACCCCCAGCGAGCCAGACATCCTGGTGTCTGTAAGCAAGTCCTCAAGGCCCTGTGGCACTGCTGCCCATTGATCAGGACTGGTGCCAGATGCCAAGGCAGCCTCCCACCCACACACCAGGGATTCTGGAATCTAAAGGCAGCTCAGACTGAAAGAAAAACAAAAGACATCTAAAAAAATTGTGCTTTAGCTGTCTGGCTCAGCACGGCATGGCATACCTTAAGAAGCTGCTGCAGCTGGCCCTAGATAGATTCATTTACTGAATGTATACATAATCCAATATACAAAAGCCTGTCTGGTGGGGAGATCCAGGCTCCACAGGGATACTCTAAAAGCAGGGACTTCTCCGTTCACGTTCCACGCACTTAATCCTAACACCAGTAACCTGCATTACTGTGGGGATTTTTCTCTTAGAAGCCACATTTTATTCCAATGCAACCATTTAGACAATTTAGCCCCTACCTCCATCCCTGGCGGCATGCAGTCGAGCAGAAAATTGTATATATTTGCGTCTGGAGTGATCAGTAACTGATTTTTTTTTTCCTGGCTTCTTCCTTGTCTTGACCCCTAACTGAAGCTCTTAAAGACCCGAAATCACATAGTTCCTGCTAAAGTCTGGGGTAGCGTGCTGGGTTTCAAAGATCAGGTTCCATGCACAGTAAGATAGGCAAACACACATATATAACTTAAACAAACTCCAACTACCGTGTTCAGAACACAACCGGAGAAAAAAAAAGGTGCCATCTCAAACACTGCTCGTCTACATTAACACACACGTGGTGAGAATTAAGAACACAATTAGATTGCTAAATGACTCAAAGGCGAAGCAGCTGGTAACAAACTGGGTATATCGATGGATGTCACCGAAATCACAGAAAATTCCTTTTTTCTTTCTCCCCCCACCCCCATTAAATTTAAAGGCATCACTTACCCGGGGGGCTTTCCTCTTGTATTTGTTGTTATAGTCAAATTTTTCTTTCATTTCATCTAAGAGCTGGCCCAGTCTAGCTTTCTCCTCTTTCCCAGTGTAATCCTGGCTGAGGAGGATATAGGATCTCCAGTTTGCAGAGTCAAAGCCCCAGTGGCAAGTCCTGTTTTCCAGAGATTTGTGAGAGTGGACCACAAATTTGTGAGGTGGGTACATAAGCCTGCAGTCCAAGCACTGGATGCAGGCTGCGCTGGGGTTACTGTAAAGCTCTGGCACCAAGAGTCCCTTACACTTCCCAAAGCACTCATGATACACCTTGAAGCTCTTCTCTGTAAGCTCCAGCTCAATTGTGCTAGAGAATTCCTTCTTGCAGTGGGGAGGATAGGTGCCACCATAAAGCAAGGCGTTACAAAGCCTCTCGGCATCAGTTTTAGTGATGAGCCCGCAGGAAGGAGCAGAGAAGGGCAGGATGCCCATGACTTTGAGGATTTCCAGCTGGTCAGCAGTGCATCTGGAGCAGTAAATGTGTAGCTCATCACACACCGAATTAATCTGCTGCAGGGAGAAGTCCCTGAGCACCGAGTTCAGGATCTGGGGCAAGCAAAGCCGCTTCTCTCCACCCACCACGAAGCAGGAGATGGTTTCCCCTTCCAGGATGGTCTCGCACCTCTCCGTGGACCTGTCCGAGGGCATGAAGAAGGGACCAGGCATTACCGGAGGAGGCTGGATGGGGGGCAGATGCAGTACAGGTTCTGCTGGGTCTTTGCCATTGTCTTTCTTGTACATCTCCTGTGCCCATCGTGCTGAGAAAGCAGCAGGGCCACCCAGGGAGCTCATAGAGCTCAGATGAAACTGTTCCAAGGTCTTCTGCAGTCCTGGATGAGGCTGGAAGCTGCTTCTACTTACAGTCTCCATTTTTTAGTTTCTATTCCCAAAACAAACAACAAAAATCCCCAGTTATCTTCCACCCTGGTACAAATCCACTTAAGGGATTTTTTTTAAGAAAAAAATTCTGAACAAAATAAAACAACCCACCCTTGTTTTTTTTTCTCCTTCCCACTCAGGTTTAACAATCCACTAAGGAATAGGAAATAAATCCTTTTGTATGCGTGTCTCTCTCTTCTTTCTTTTCTCTTGATTCGTTACAATTTCAAAACCTCCAAGTCTCCAAGCTGCCCCGATGGAGCACAGAGTCACGCCAAAAAGAGGTCTTCATCCGAGCACTCACCCCCTCAGCCAACCCCCCAGGCAAACCAATCCCGCCTCCCACACCTCCACCACACACACACTCACTCACTCACTCACACACACACACGCCACCCACAGAAATACAAAAAGTCTGTGCCACGCTCCGAGAACCAGGGGCTCAAATATGTTCTGGCGGCTGCTGCTTCTCTGCAGTAATCACCCTTCTGTCCATATCCACCGAAAGGAAGGCGCGGGGGAGGAAAGTAAAAAGCAGGAGGAGGAAGAAAGCTTGGTCTGTGGAAAGGAACAACGCAGAAGAAAAGGAAAAGGCCCAAATCTCTGGCACTTCCAAAACGGCGCGGGGGCTTCGGACGGGCGATAAGCAGGCTCCCTTTCCCCCTCGTGGTCCCTCAGCTTGATCTGGGAGGACTCCTCGTCTCTCGGTTCGCCTTTCTTGCCTTATTTCTCTCGATCTTCTCGGCGTGCCGTGGGGAGCCGCGGTAACAGAGCGCACATCCTCCCAGCTCCTCTTTCCAGCAGAGACTGAGAGTGCCTGAGAGCTGAGCTAATGCAGGCTGGCTCAGCCTCCCTCACCACCACCCCCACCACCACCACCACTCCTCCTCCTCCTCCCCCCCTCTGTTTGTTGGTGTCTGCCTCAGTCATTGAATCCCAGCCAAGAATGTGACCAACTCCCCAGGCCGGGCTCTTCCAGGAACAGCGGCCGCCTCCCCCCTCCGCTCCGCGCCGCGCTGCCGCACAGGCCGCCGCTCAGCACGGCCCCGGGCGGCAGCCGGGGTAAACTGCTGGGTTCACGGACCGCCGCGCCGCCGAGGAGGGGCGGTAGGGCGAGGGCTTTTTTTTTCTCTCGCTCTTTTTTTTTTTTTTTCACTGGAAAAGTGTCTGCTTACCCTCACTTCTAAAACCCTGCTTCTAAAACCTGGCACACTGTTTGAAGTATAGTGAGGTATTAAATACATTTAACTCCTGAATGTTTTTGAGTACATCCTGGGACCCCCCCCAAAACCTGCGAAGTTCAACTTTGGGCACACGCCCCGCTCTCCCCGAGCAGCGCTCGCAGGCGTACAAAAGACGATTTACGGCCAAAAGAGGCGCATCCTCGGCGGCGCCCCCAACCCGCCCAGCGCCCCGTGCGGGGGCGGCCCCCTGCTCCGGACACGCGTGTCACACGGCCCCGCTCGCAAGCCACGCCAGTCCGCCTTTAACACGTGGAAAAGGCGAGTGGCACAACCGCCTACACGGGCCTGCGGGGGCGGGGGGGGAGCCACCCGAGCCTTCGCTGAAGTAGTAACGCGGGGTCAGGCAAGATTAAAACCCGCATCCGTGGCAAAGGCGGGCGAGCGGGGCCGCCACGGGGGATTCCGGGGCCGGCGGCCGCAGGGCCCGCGCGCACGGCGCCGCCGGAGAGGAGCGCCCCCTGGCGAGCCAGGCGCGGCCCCAGCGCCCAGGGCTCCCCGCGCCGCCCCGCGCAGCGGCTCCGCACCGGCACCGCCGCTAAAATACCGCCGGGAACATTGTTCTATTAAAACGTTATCTGGAACGCGACGGCGGCTTTAAAGCAAAATCTTGCTGCACTGAGTGGCGCAGAAATGGGGCGTTCGGATAGTCCTGTCTGAAAGAGTTTCCTGGCGCAGCGTAAAAGCAGAAAGACAAATGGACAAATGTCCAAACACCGTTAAACAGAGCACACAGAAAACAAAAAGGTGGCAATTCACTCAGAATCGCTGTAACGGGGCAGGGAACGCAGCAACATTTTAAAAACACAATTTTAGTTGTATCTATATATTCTGAAATCCCCTCCGGAGTGAAGGGCCGAGGTGTCGCAGAAGAGCTTTGATCTCACCACAAAAACCCTTTCTCCCCCAAGGAGCCCAATCTCACACACCCCACCCAAAGAGAGGAGGCAAGAGCCAAATCCACTGCTCCAAACCACCAGTTGTGTCTTCATACGGCGAGAGAAGGCACTTAGAGAATCTTTACCAAATTCCCTTATTACAGAAAGCCACTGGTGGCAAGAAATTCCCTTTGTGTTTGGCACATGGATTTACTGAGCCACCAGTGGAATTTTTAGATATTACCCCAAAACCAAGGTCTAAAGACAGGATCTAACAGTCCAGGCCATACAGTCTTTGTTGACTCCTGATGCTAACGAGGTTCCCACAGCAGGGCTAGGAACGGTTTTCACTGAGTAACAGGGGTATCTAAAAGCTTTTAGTTAAGAATAATTCTCAGTAATATTCTTCAGAAACTACGTGTGGCACCTTTTGGTAACAGGAAGGACATTTGTGCCATTCCCAATTCTTTTAAAGAACAAAATTAACACTTGCAGGAAGTTTGAATAGTAACAGAGAAGCTTCTTAGCTCTGGAAGCTGTTTTCTTTTTGTCCCATCCCTTCCCCTTTAGCCTGTAGAAAAAAGACAGTGGTGGCTGCAGCTCATGGTGAGAGAGGTGCCATTTTCCCTCCCAAATGACTCTTTTGTGCAAGTAAATCTCTGGATCGTGCAACAGATTGTTTACGGGTGGAATTCAGAGTCGGAATTCCTGAAGCAGAGGGGTCTACCAAAAAGGCAGGAAGGATGGTCTTGTGGTTAAGACAGAAAACTCGGGACATCTGGGGTCTATTCCCAGATCTCCCACAGATTTCCTGTTGCCTTGGGCAAGCTGTTCCGTCTCTCTCTGCCTCAGTTTCTGTATCTGCAATATCCAGATGGTGACCAATTCGAGTGGCAGCTTCTGAACCTGAATCCAGGACGGGACAGAAACAAATTTTCCACTCCCGCAATAACAACACAGTAAAACTTCCCTGTCTTTCTGTCCCACAGACTCTGCAGAAGGAAACGGCAGCAGGGCAGGAGAAGGGGGAGCGACGAGAGCTGTCACTTGGGATTAGGGTGGCAGTGGCTTCTGAAGTCTCTGCCTCCCCGGCTGACGGCCCGTGAGCGCTGCGCATCTTAAAATCATTTTAATCTTTCCCCCAGTAACTCTTTGTCTCGCTCCAGCTCCAAAGCCCTCTAGCTGGAGAAAGGAGAGGGGAGAAATATCTCGGAGGAAGGGCCCTAACACCACAGTGTTTTTCTCACTCTCTCCCTCTTCTCCTCCCCCTCTCCATTGGCTTCAAGGCCAACAGCTCCTGGAACACAAACACTCTTGTAAACTTCTGAACCACACAGCCCTATGGTGGGTGGGTGTTTGCTCCCTGCCTGCCAGTTCCAATCCACCCACAGATTCCAAAGGCCCAGAACAAAAAGCAGACTCCATTTTCCATATTTAACAGGCAATTCGTTTCCCTCCCCATTGCCTTCCCTTGCAGAACTCGGTGCCTCTCACAAGTATCATGTCCCACCTTTTACGCGTTCCCCAAGTAGAGAGTATCATGTTTATGCATATTTTATACAGGCGTAATAAAAGTATCTTCCAAAGAAATTCACCCCAGTCCCCTCTGGTTTTAGATGCCTGCTCTGTCGGGAAGAACTGGGGATTATCAAGGACGGTGCTGCACGTTGCAGCTATTTGACAAAAGGTTTGGGAAGGGCCCGTGGTGAAGAGTGTGAAGAAGGAAAGTAAGTGCAAAATAAAAGCATGGGTGCAAATGTGACACATCAAAATTCCTACTGTAGCTCACATTAGACAGTAAAACTCTTTACTTCTAATTTCTCCCTGTTTGTATCGGACATACTCATTTCTAATTGTGCCATTCCGGTACTGAAGTAAAACAATTCCTGCTTGACCAGGATATTTCCTTCCCTTCTTTCCTTTACAGACTGTCTACTAAAGATCATCATTTTCACTGATCATTTCCCTTTCAGTGAAACTGGGGAATGCCAGACTATCCAGAACCTGTAGAATAAGGTTTCAAACTCTCTGTTGAAAAAGACGTATCTGAGTCAGGCAGTCTTTTTCAACAAAATACTTCATTTTTTCATCAACATAGAGATTCAGCCTACAGAAAATTATTTCACCAATGTATACCATCTTCTTATCTTTGTGGCCAAAACAAATCTTGAAATGTTTATTTTTAAAGAGACCACAATTTTTGGATGTGTTTCTCTTAGAAATGTACTGAAATAAGCGAATTTTAAAACATCTAAGAAGTCACAGGAAAAAAAAAAAAGTTTCATGAACTAGTCATATTTAAGATGAACCAAACAAATAATGTTGCTGTTTGAGAACGTCAGCAATGGACTCATGTTAACAAAAATGTCCTCTTTTTTTAATTAATGGAAAAATCAACTATTTACACAACACTTTTTAGGCCAAAAAGCTCAGTGAGGTGGCTGGGACTTCTATGGTATTTACCACCGTTCAAGTTCTACCATGTTCTAGGTGAGCTCTGGGATGCTGCACAGCCTTGAACAGGTTTGATTTACATACTAATAGCTTGTTTATAAGGTTATTTTATGTTTTTACTGTGCTCCAAGTAGTGGTGAGATCTATTCTGAGAGCAGTAAAAACAAAATTGGTAATTATGAGACTGTAAGTGGGGAGGTGGTATATAGGTAGATGTAAAACTTTCTGAAATTGCTGAGTTAAATGAGTGGGCAGCTGGTGAAGATTTCTTGAGATGACCTTGGATAACAGGAAAAGTGGGAGGTGATTCCAATGGGGAATTCCACCCTCAAGAAAACACATGGGAAACAGGACTGGAACTGAATCTGGGTTCTTCTGGCCTTCAATGGTCTTGATTTTCAGTTAGGTAATTTCCACTCCAGCCATTCTATGTGGTTTCAATGAAAATACCCAAGTTGTATACTTCAAACAACAAAGGCTAAGGAGCTACAGGGCTGACCTCTACCTCCTGGAAGGCAGAGACAGCTTGACTGTGCCACATGCAATCTTCTACAGTTTGAGAGAAACTTAAGACCAAGGAATAAACTGAAGAAAAAAATCACAATGACAGAATTTAGGAAAGCTGGAAACATACTCTGAGGCATATGCACAAAGCAGGCACACATAAAACATAAAAGATCTTATCTTCTTCCCTTTTAGTATCCATGACCTGGACACAGATGATAAAGCAATCTCTCTCTAGAATGCTGCTCCTCTCCAGGGTCTTGCCTCTGCTTTTTCTGCCAAACATATTGGTTTAATATCTGATCTTTTCAGTGATAGCAGCTCGCTATGCTGTATTTTTTATTGGTTTGGTTCAGCTAACTGATTAGATTTTACCATGTTCATAGCAGCTTCTGCCACCACTAAGAAGAGAATTCCATGGATTCAGAAGTCATCATTATTTCCTTAGTCCTGTTCACAGTGCTCAGTTCCTGTCCAGCTCAGCTCCACAACCTATCTCCTTCTACATCTTTTACTTCTTTCCAAAGTATAGAACCTCTTGATCAATATATATCTCCATATTTCTCTCTATTCCTGATCCTCCGAGGATAATAATCTAGGATAAGACTTGGCCTTTAAGCTCAGGTTACAGCAATTGATGCTTTTGCTCCAGAAGTTCCTTGTGCCATCAGGGACAGCAGCTATCACGCTAACACAACACAGCAGGCTATTCAGAACAAAAGCTGTCAGAGGGGTGAACTTAAGAACTGGCTTGAAT